GATTTTGGCTAACGTATTCTCTTGTTTAGAAGCTCCAAATCATGAGAAAGCATGAGAAGTCTAATTTTCTAGGATTTTGATTGCATGAAAGAGAATTTTGGCCTCTTGCAACTTGTCTTTGGAAAAAATCATGCTTCAATAGAGATTATGCTTCCGGCGCCCCCCTTTTCGTTTACAAGTTCCCTTCCAGCATCTAATCTGGCCAACGTGCTCTCTTGTATTCTCTTGTTTAGAAGCTCCAAATCATGAGAAAGCATGAGAAGTCTAATTTTCTAGGATTTTGATAGCATGAAAGTGAATTTTGGCCTCTTGCAACTTGTCTTTGGAAAAAATTATGCTTCAATAGCGATTATGCTTCCGGCGCCCCCTTTTCATTTACGAGTTCCCTTCCAGCATCTAATCTGGCCAACGTGCTCTCTTGTTTCTTTTTCAGACTTGATTGAGAGGTTCCAAAGCATGAGAAATGTCATCTTCTTACTGATTTGTTAGGAACTTGATGGTATGAAGGTGAGATTTTGGTTGCTCACACCTTGTCTTGCGATATGAAGGCTTATGGAAGATTTGAATTGTTTGACCAGAGAGACTTTGGATGAGACAGAGAACAAGCTAGTTGTTGAGTTCTTCATCCTCGTGGGGTTTTGCTCTTCGTTTTGGCAGCCAAGCACCAAACCCCTTTGACCTATTTTGTCATCGTTGCAACAACGGTACTCACGGCATGGGTGCTAGCAAGGAAGGGCTTGCATCAGCTTTTTGGGTTTTCTTCTTTTCGATTTCTTTCTTTTGCAAGCCGCTGGAAGAGTGCTAAAGGATTGCAAAAAGAAATCCCTGGTATGGACCACATCCTTTCCTTTTCTCCATTTTTCTTCCCCCTTTTTATCATGTGTTGGCCCCTTTTTAGCTGGTGAAAAGGCTAAACCTTGCACAATGCGCTTTTTCTATGTAGGTGTATACGTCTCAGACACAGGTAGGGGAAAGGCAAGTGCCGGAAGCTTTGATGTTTTTGCTGCTGGAACCTCCAAATCCTCCAGCCTTCTAACTCGGATATTTGAGCTTCTGCTTTAATCCTTTGGTAAGTAACTCTGCCAATTTGAATATTCCAGGAATAAGCATAGACTGGTGCTTGGCCTAGGCTCACTTTTCTTGTGAACACATGCTTGATTAACCTTGGGCCTTCGTTTATGTTGTGGGAAATAGAAATTGACAGAATGCATGTTTTGCAATGCTTGAATTTTTTGCATTTTTGAGAGAGAATTTTGCTTGCTATGGGAATTGCTTGTCAATGAGAATTTTTCTTGCCATGGGTAAATTGCATGTTGCTTGGGCATTTTCTTGAGCGTTTCCTTTGGCATGAGCTTGACTTGTCATGCTTGAGGTACAATTTTGTGTGTGCTACGTTCTTGGCCCCCCTTCTTGATTGTTGTTGAACTATATGCATCAAGAGCGTATGCTTGTAGTCGCATGATTAATATGTAAGATCATAGGCTGTTTGAAAGCTTGAGGAAAGCACAATTGGTTTCTTTTTTATGAGCTTAGAGCTTGGTCATGGATGGAGGTTTATTCTTTGGCTTTATAGGGATAGACACAAACATGTGTATGATGGGTCTGCTGAAATGATTGGTTGAGCATGGAATGGGAAATTTGCTTGTCATGAGCTCGAGTAATAGATTGCATGATGCTTCGAAAATATTTTTTGTTTATACATTTCGCTTGGCATGAGATAGCTTGCTTTGCTTGGCTTGTAAAGTTCATATGGCTTGCATGCTAGTGTGGAGATTGCTTGGCTTTAACACAGAGAACTAGCTTTATGCTTTGCCATTTTTCAGCATATTCTTTGTTGGCAATTCTTGCAGGGATTCATCGCTTGTCAAGACCTGCCATGGCATCCACCAACCCGTCGTCAATTATTAGTGACCACCTTTATTCACTGGATGATAAATTGAAGAGGGGAAGACCCCCTCCATTGCTCAAGAATGCTTGTGAACATGCTGCAGTAAGCGAAGAGCCAGTGCCGGAAACTGCTTCAGTGATTGATCCTGCGTCTATATCGAGGTGCTGCATAAAGACGGGTTTGTTTCCGGCAGCCCCCCATGTTCTTGGGATATCCGATGCAGGTGTAGACAATGCCCTACTCCTTCCAGCAGTGCTGCCTCCTACTCCTCCTCTTCTCGGAACATCCGACATAGCTGCCGGCATGCCTTGCACCTTCCAGCAGTGCTGCCTCCTACTCCTCTTCTTCTCGGAACATTCGACATAACTGCTGGCACTGCCCTGCACCTTCCGGCAGTGCTGCCTCCTTTTATTTCACAGGTTGTTTTCTTTGGCTTGGGGTCAGTTGGCTCAGTGCACAGCTTCCATCTTTCTTGATACCATAGGATGTACAAATCTTCAACATGTGTAACTTTGTTTTTGCAATGGCCGTGTACTTTTTAGATAGTCTAACGACTGTAATATACTACTGAATCGCTGGAACTTGCATTAATTTCTGAATGCTTGAGGCATGTTGTAATCCGTACATCTCATATATATATATTGCTTGGTTGGGAGAATTTGCTCTTGTGAACTTCTTGAAACTTTTCTGACAGGTTGGCAAACCTTAAAAA